TAGAGGGCAGTGTCCCTGGCCCTCACATGTGGGATCCGAACCGGGGCCCTCTGGCGTCCCAAGCCAGTTCTTAACCATCGCGCCACTCGGCCGGTCCATTTCTTTTCTTTTCTTTTCTTTTTTTTTAATCCTAATTTTATCAGTTAAAAATGATATATCATTCTCTGATCACAGCATCATTTTCCCATTTAGTTGTTTCCTTCACTGTGTTGTCTGTTTACTATCTTCCTGTACTCCTAGTGTCTTATTAATTTTTTTTTTTAAGATTTTATTGGGGAATTGGGGGAGGGGAACAACGTTGGGGAATCTGGGAAGGGGAACAGACAAGTTGCTGTCCTTTTGTTCTTCAGTCTAGTTGTGGAGGACTTATTAATTTTTTTTTTAAAAGAACTTTCACATAGTAAAGATATCAAGCCTTTGTGTATTGCAGTTGGCTGGAGCAATTTCCCAAGTCATTGACTATTTGTAATTTCACATTTTTTTTAACCTGCAGTTTTTTGTTTTGTATGAACAAACATATCCATCTTCCCTTTTGGGATTTATCATCTCATCTCCTTTAAGCCCAGGAAGTCCTCCTCCTTCTAAAGAATCAATACATTCTCACTTCTATTGTCTTTTTGTGCTTATGTAGTTTAATCCTCCTCCCCAATTTAACTTCATCAGGAATTAATTTTGGTGTAAAGATAAAGGATGTGCATTTAAATTTCTTTTTCCCCAAAGAGCTAATCAAGTATCCCAGGGTTGTTAATTGAATAACCCTTCCTGTCCCCATTATTTGAGAAATGTTCTTTATTACACGTTCATGTCTTTTTTATTGGAGGATTTATGTCTTCCTGGCTCCCGGATTTCTTTATTTTGGTGCCAGCTTCACCCTTTGATTATTTTAATAATCATGTCTATTGCACTCTCAGTTGTTCTGAGGGAACCCCCTGCGTCAGGACTCCGCTCCCGCCCCCTTTCCCGCAGGGCAGTCTGGAGGCCTGGGGCGCCAAGTGTTCCCAGGCGCTGCCGGCGCCCAGGTGCAGCTCTGTCACCGTGGGTTCCCGCCGGGAGGGAGAGAGAGGCAGGCAGGTGTCCCTAACGACTCTCCCACCCTCCAGCCTGGGGAGGTGCTGGCCCGGGCTCCGTTACCACATTACAGATGGGGAAGAGCCTTCTGGCCTCTTTCGGGTTTCAAGACCTTCCCAGGGAGGGGAAGGTGGAAGACCCTCCCCTCCCCCCGCCTGCCGCCAGCCGCCTCCTTCGCCCACTGCCCGCTTGGGCCACCTCGCGTTGGTACAGCTACCCTTCCAGGGGCCCACCCCCAGCTCCCT